CATCAAAATATGCACCTGAATCACCAATGTACACGCCTTCTTCTAAATAAATGTCTAACTCTGACTTCACACTTGCAAAAGTGTCAACGCTTCTGATATGTTGATCATACTTTGTCGTGCCACTCTTGATACCAACTCTAGAACTTAACTTGTTATAACCACTCTTAACTCCACTCTCACTTTTGTCAGGTGCACTACTCATTTGAACAACATTAGCCGCTTTATGTTGTTCAACATACTCTTCAAACATTTTAGTAAGAGTATCTTGAAAAATTTTCATTTGCTTAGGTGCCTCATCCTCTGAATAAATGAAACTAAAAGAGAACTCAACCAACTTCATCTTGTATCTAGGATCTAAAACAGCACCAATGGAAATCAACAGATTACAAGTACCCCAATATTTGTCAAATTTCTTTTTCATCTTGAGAGCCATATCTCTCATATATTTACTCTCATCTAAAGACAAATCATCTAATGCTTCTTTAATTCCATACAACTCACTAAGAAACAAATTAGAGGTGGGATATTCGGAGCCTATAAAATAAAAGAAGTAAATAAAATTCTATGAGAATTAGGTGATTAGCTTCGAAAAAATGACTTATAATGAAAACCATAAAGAAAATTAATAATACCTGAAATTATTTTTGTAACCTCGTTGAAAAGCCCCCAGAATGAGCAAATAACTTCAACTTTGTCCCAATCTTCCGAGATCAGCAAGGTCTTGTATGTCGATTCTCGATCGGCATAATTTACAAACACGTCTTTAAACTCCAAGGCCGTAGACAACATAGCATACGTAGCATTCCATCGGGTACTAACATCTAAGATCAAATGCTTCTTTGATAAGGTCATTTTCTTGGAAAGTTCGCTAAATATATGCAATCGATCCGGAGAGGCATTCACGTGTTTCACACTCTCACGAACATTGTGAATAATGTCTTTAATTTTCGATAAACCATCTTGAACCAACAAATTGAGAATGTGTGCACAACACCACACATGGAATAACTTCCCCCCAACAACAAGCTTTTTCTGAAAGTTCATAATTTCCATCAACTTTGTTGCCACCACATCATTAGTTGTAGCATTGTCAACCGTCAAAGTAGCAACCTTTGTCTCAATATTCCACTCTTTTAAACACTTAAAGAGGGAATCATATATACATAGTCCAGAATAAGGTGGTGGTACATCAACAAAACTCAATATGCATTTGTTAAGCTTGAAATCGGAATCTACAAAATGACAAGTAACAACCATATAATGAATATTTTGCACCGACGTCCACATATCAGTTGTTATACTCACACGATTGACAGCGCTTAACATTTTCTTGATTCTTTTCTTGCCTATCTCATAACTAGCAACACAATCTTGCTTAGTCGATGCATGTGAAATCTTGTTAAACCCGGAGTTAGCTTCTTTCATAACCACATTAAATAGTTCATACTCAACAAAATTAAATGGCAACTCATGAACCATAATCATATGACAAACAACCTCTCTAATCCTACTATTGTCAAATTTCCAGTTTTGGACCATAGAAGAATCTAATTTCCCCGGCACAACCTTTAACTTTAACTGACCTGGATGAATGGTGTTGACGGCTTTTAACTTTGGGCAATCACTAATATGCCTATGCAATGGTGTGGTGGTTCCATCTTTAAGTTTCTTTATCTTCTCACCACAATGGATGCACTCACAAACTTCAGTTCCATTAGCCAATTTCACCAAGCGAAAATGTTCCCAAACTCCTGAAGTCTTCTTTCTTTTCCTTTTAGCATATGGAGTAGATTCTTCATTGTTGACTATGTTGGTTTTTTCTCTACCACCATCAACGGCTGCTACAACGTCGTCTCCATCATTTGATCCGATAACAACCACTTCAGGAGTACTTTCCATTCTTGATGTGTTTGCGCTTGATTCAATTTCCGTTGATTCAAGTTCTTGAGGCGATTGCATCCGATCTAAATATAAATCATCATGAAAGAAATATGGACCGCTACAAGAGACATCAGACAGCTACAAAATGCAAAAAAAACATTTTAAATAAAAAAACATTTTAAATAATCAAACATTTTAATCGCTGCAGATTTGCTTTAGAAATAGTTGAGTCCGTTGTAAATGAGATAGGAGCAGATAGAGTGGGTATAAGATTATCCCCATTTGCAAACTACATGGAATCAGAGGACTCAAATCTGAAAGCTTTAGGTCTTTATATGGCTGAATCTTTGAATGCATATAAGATTCTTTATTGCCATATGGTGGAAACAACATTGTAAATGATAACATAGTACTGTCACTAATGTCCATGAAACTTGTTATTACCATATGATAATATATACACAAAACCTAAAACACAACAAAATAATAGATAAAAAAAACACAAATCATATGGTGGAACCAGCATTGTAAGAATGTAAGCCACGAATCGTAGATAGGGATTTCTCTTATACAAGCTTGGGAACTCTTTCCAATCATTTAGAATAAAAACCTAAAATCAAAATCAAAAAGAAATTCAGATTTTTTTTGCAATAAAAACCTAAAATCAAGAGATATACTGAAGAAACCAAATCATTAGAAGAACCGATGAAACTCTTCGCCAATCGGGTTCACGGAGAAGAATGAGCGAGAGTTGGGCCATTGAGGAGAAAACGCTAAGTACGCTAAGCAAATACTATAATATTTGAGAGAACGTACCTAGATACTACCCTTCACGATTGGCGATTGATTCACAGCACGGTTATCCCCTTCGCCTCTGCCCTTCACGACGACCACCACTCTTCAAGACGTCCACACCAGTCAGTCGATGACCTAGAAGAACTAGAAGAAACCCAACAAAACCTTATTAAAAAGGCCCAATATTAAAAAGGCCTAAACCTTCTTAAAAGCCCAATAATTAAAAAGGTTTTAAAATTTAAATTCAAACTAAATAAATAAAAATTATATATTAAAATTAATACATAAACGAACATAATCGAACATAAACGAACGAACGTTCACGAACATAAATGAACGCACGTTCACGAACATAAATGAACGAACAAGACTCTTGTTCATGTTCGTTCGTTTAACTAAACGAACAAAAAATTTTGTTCATGTTCGTTCATTTATTAAATAAACGAACATAAACGAACTTCCCGCCGAACGGTTCACAAACGGTTCGCTGAACGTTCGGTTCGTTTACAGCCCTACTCATGAATAGACAAAAGGACTATTCATTGTAGCAAAGGACAAGCTTTCCTCTAAAAGCTTGACACGTGTTGTGTACCTTCTAAATTGCATTTAATGCAATGGGTATAAATAGCTGAGTGTTCTCTACTAAGTTATTATCTATCATAATACTTCTTTCTCTCTGAGAAGCTTACCCAAGAAGTTACTTCTCTCACTACTCTCTCTAAAGAGAAAGAACCACTTTGAACAAGTGAAGAACGCATTTCTAAGTTTTCATTTCTTACAACAATTTTTTTCTCTTTGCTAAGTGTAATTGGGTGTATCTCTAGATTGTTTAGATAGTTTTCTTTACCTTATCTTTTCCACAAACAATCTGTAAAATTTGTATTGATACTCCTGTATCAATATATAATTTTTAAAAGTAAAAGTTTGTGTGTTTGTATTCATCCCCCCTTTTACAAACTGTTACCTATAAACTCTTGTAGATCCAGCTGGGACCAACAAGTGGTATCAGAGCAGTGTTTGCTTGTTGTGTTGTTTTGTTGTTTTATTGACATTTTGTTATCTTTTCTTCTCTAGATAATTTATTCTTTTACAAATGGATTTACAAAACACTAGCACTCACTTTCACGATAATGACTCTCTTGCCAAACCTCCACATTTCATAAGAGACAACTTTAGTCTATGGAAGAATCGGATGTCTTTGTTGATCCTATCTCTCATTGATTTGATGATAATCCCTTTTATCTATCGAAGTAATATGTTTTTGTCTATTCAGTTCCAACGATCATCACCGAGTCTGTTCATTGATCACTGAAACATGTATTGTAATCCTACAACGACAGCTATACTTCAAGAAGACAAAAGTCACACCCAAGAACCTTCAGTGAATGTCGAAAACTGACAACTGAAGATTAGTGACTAGTGTGTTCGTGATTAGAAGCGGTATTCAGTGATTACAATCTGGTCAATATATGTGTGAAGACTTCACAAGCCTCAGTGAATGCTGAAGAAACCTCCAGCGTTATTCCAACATTCAGTTTTCAAATGAAGCTTGCCATGCATGATTGTTTTTGTCTTGTCCTTCCACACACAAAGGACAAACCCATACCCTATCAAGAGTTTCGTACTGCATAGAGCCATTTGGTCGACTCTAGTGCCCACCAAATCCATGAAAGGATGTCTGCTTATTAATAGACAATAGTACTATTTACTGTAGCAAGGGACAAGCTTTCTTCTAAAAGCTTGACAAGTGTTCTGCCTCTTCTGAATTGCATTTAATGCAATGGGTATAAATAGTTGAACGTTCTCTTCACTCATGCATACACACGCAAACGCTATCTTATAAGCAAGTTAGAATTTCTCTCTAAAATTCTAAGACACATACCCAAGAAGAACACATCTCTACCTTATTTCTTTCGGCAAATCTCTTATATTTGCTAAGTGTATCTGTGTGTATTTCTAGATTGTTTTACATAGGTTTTCTTTACCTTTTCTATCCCGTAAACAATCTGTAAAAAATTGTATTGATCCTTCTTTATCAATATATATTTTTAAAAGTGAAAGTTACCATGTTTGTATTCATCCCCCCCTTGTACAAAATGATCACTTCTACACTCTTGTATATCTAGCTGGGAACAATAAGTGGTATCAGAGCAGTGTTTTCTTCTCGTCTTGTTTTGTTGTTTATATACATTTTATTATCTCTTCTTTGTCTCTAGATAATTTACTGCTTTTCAAATGGCTTTACAAAACACCAGCACAAACTTTCACGACAATTGCTCTCTTGCCAAACCTCCCCGATTCATTAGAGACAACTTCAGTCTCTAGAAGAATTGGATGTCTCTCTTCTTGGAAGATGTGGATCCTGAAATTCCACACTATATAGAGAATGGACCCTATGTTCCATATGCTATATCTACGACGGTTCCTGAAACAGCTACGACTGCCGCGATTCCTGAACGACAGATTCTAAAGCTCCCTCATCAATGGAGTGATGAAGACAAGAAGAAAGTGGCTATAGATACTCGTGCGAGATCTATAATAGCCATGTATCTTCCTGATGAGGTTTATCATTATGTGATGAAACTAAGAACCTCGAAAACCATGTGGGACACACTTTGTATTCAATATGAAGGCACTTCTCAAGTACAAGAGTCAAGGAAAATAAATTTAGTAAGACAATATGAAAGCTTTGTCTGTGGAAAGAATGAATTGTTGTCTGAAGTACATCAACGCTTTAACTGCTTCCTTATCGACTTGAGGACTGTTGGAAGAGAATATTCCAACTCTAAGACATTGACAAAATTCCTGGAATGCTTACAAGAATCTTGGGATACTTATTCTATGTGTCTCAAAATGTCCAATGATATGTCCTCTCTCTCTCTTAGTTCTCTTTTTGGGATATTGCTTAATCATGAGCAATCCCAACATCTGACAAGAAATCTCATTAAAGATTCCAGAAAAATGAAAAGCTCTCCATTAGCTTTGATCTTTGAGGATTCTTCAGCTGATCTCCTATTTTCTTCTAATCTTTCTGTTTATTCTTTTTCTTTAACGAAATTAGATCCTACTAACTCTGAGGACCTGTCAGATTCTGATCTTGCAGAGTTTGATGAGTCACTGGCTCTTTTAACCAAGTCTTTTAAAAGGTTTACCAAAAAAAGAAATTTCCGCTGATCTCCTTCGCTGACCATCTCGGATAAGGCAAAGTCAAATCCTATTGACAAGGCTTCAGCGATCTGCTACAACTGTCAGCGCAAAGGTCACTTTGTGAGTGAATGCAAGTTGAAGAAAACTGCGACGCCATGTTCTAAAACCCCATCCTCCTTCAAGCCAAAGATGACAATTATCAAAAGCTAAAGGAGAAGTACAGAAAAATGAAGAGTTCTCAACGAAAGAGAAATGGTCTTGTTGCTGAAGAATACGACTGGGCTGATTCTTTTGACAAATTATCCTCTGATGAGAAAAACACGACCTATCTCTGTCTTATGGCCAAGGATGTCAAGGTAGAATGTTCTGAGATATCAACCTCCTATGATCCCTCATCCTCCACATCTGCTCAGGTATGTTCCCTGAATGAACCCTCTTCTTCTTCTGTCCCTAATAGCCTATCAGCGTTAGATACATTGACGGTTGATCTTTACAATGCCCTGAATGGCAAATCCAATGCAGAAATGTTTAATCTTGATCTTCAAGAACAGTTGAGGATATGTCATTCTAGGATCAAAGAGCTAACTAAGATCGAGGAAGATCTCAAGGATCAGATCATTGTAATCTAAACCATCAATATCGAGCATGAACAAGCTATAGCTGTGCGTGAGCAAGGTATTGATGAACTCAAGGCTGAGATGGCTACCATTGAAGGGTGGTGCAAAGCCTCCATCAAATCCTCTGAGATCATCAATGCTCAGATTCTCGCCAAGATTAAGACTAGTCTAGAATTCTCCTATGATCAAGAAAAACGTGTCACTGACAGGTCCATGCTGAAGTTTGGCACCTTCGTCTCCTCTAATCTTGACACTTCTTCCTCTCAGTCTTCTATCACTGAGAGTCATCTTGAAGGAACTCTTTTGAGTTCATGTCGTAAAGACAAAGGTAAATCCATTGTCATAGCACCTCTTCCCAGGAAGGTTGACAAGTCATATAGATCAAGATCTATTCCTTCAGTTTGCGCACCTTCTTTTTCTATTTCTTCTGTGATGAAGATATCTGAATCCTCTCAGAAATCTAAGTCAAAGCTTAAGGTAAAATTTTCAGCCAAGGACTCTAAATCCTCAGTTGTTCCTTCTAGAACAAATGAGCAGGGAATCCTTGGAGCTTGTTCCTCTGGTACTTTGTAGCCCTAAAGCTAGTTTCAGCTATAGGAAGTGTAGACACTGTGGTGAAACTACACATTTTGCCAGCAAGTATCCTTCTGCTACCAAGGCTGGTCCTCCAGCCAAGGGAAAGAAAGTAGCCAAGGCCAAGAAATCAACCAAGGTGAAATCTGCCACTAAAGTTGTAAAAATGACTAAAGTGAAGAATACCATTAAAGCCTCTTCTTCAGGCTCAGTAAAGACTTCTGCTGACTCTAAGTCTTCAATTTCAGTAGATGTATCCTCTAACCATGCTGGACCTAAAGAAAAATGGGTACCAAAGCAATCTTAATCTGATCTCGTGTGTAGGAAGTCAAAGGCATTTGGTATCTCAATAGTGGATGCTCAAGACACATGACTGGAGATAAATCCCTGCTCATTGATTACAATGATGAAAGAGGCATTTCCGTAACCTTTGGAGGAAATGGAAAAGGATATACCAAGGGCTTTGGTGTATTAACCAATCGGGAACTACTTTCAAACATGTTGCATATGTAGAAGGATTGAAGCACAATCTTCTTAGCATCAGTCAACTTTGTGACAAAGATTTCACAGTAATATTTTCTAAGAATTCATGCTACGTCTTCGACAAGGATGATAAGGTTACTCTAAC